CTAATGAAATTAGTCATATTTCGACTATATTTTCATAGAAATATTCCACCGTGATTTTCACGGCCATAGATTTATCGTCCTTCGTTTTATTCTTGTAGAACATTATCTGATAATCCTCTTGAGATAATCGAGCCGGAGGCCTTTCGCCTTGAATCCTTAAGCGTCAAGATGTAAGTTTACTTAAAATTTGTACAGTAGGTTTTTTATTCTTTTAGAATGATATTCGATCCAGGTATTACTCATTCAAGAACTTCTCCAAGTTCAATATTTGCCGACCAGATTTTGAACGACGACTGAAAACCTTTGAGAACTTGAAAAACAAAATCAGATTAAAGATATCGCCAAGTTAAGGACTGAAGTGCAATGACCCTCTGCCAAATATGCAGTACGCGAGGCTCTCTCTCTCTATAAGAGATGATCTCAGCTCTTACTATTCTTCTCTCATTTTACAGCTTTCTTCTCCGGACGACGCTAAAGACGTTAACCTCTGCCTTATTCGTGGGCCTCCACTCAGAGAATTTCAAACTGTGCGTATCTAACATGATCAAACGTTCACCATCTGCCATAAGTAGCTGGAACAATAACAAACATACATCATCGCGATCATGGCCGGTGATAGTTTGTTCTATCTTTGTTGAAATTTATTCTGCGGTTGCAATGTCTGATTTTCATCTGCTTTGAGTCCATTCCTTAACCGGTCTCCCCTCCTCCCTGATATATGGTGCCGAGCCCACGAGTGTTCTCACTGTCCAATTGCAATATAAGTTGTTGCTTTCGGGAAAAAAATAAGACAAAACAAAACATAAAACAAAACAACATAAAATAAGTAACCTTTCGAACTTATGATAGCTAACGTTGATTTATTTCAGTTAATTTAGAATGATTCAGCCTGTAGAGACATTGTTTAATTTCTGTTGCAGTGTTGCAAGGAATAGAACAGCTAGAACCATGTATTATTCCTTTCCAAGAGGGAAAGTCACAATTTACTTGTCAGTATAAGATTAATGTTTTGATAATGTACACGCATAACATCATATGACATACACAATAATTTTGATATGTAACTTTAATTGAGGAGAAGCAGCTGACCAATGTTTATTAAAATTAACATTTAATTGTGAAAAACTTTGAGGCATTTTAACACGGAATAATAACAACCCGAGGAGAGTAGAAACATTTAAAAAAACTTAACATTCAAATGTAGGATTTTTAGAACACTACTATACCGATCTGAGGGAAAAAGCAGAGCGTTTAAAATAAAAGTAGTAGAAATTATATATAAATCAATTACCAGCGTCATCGGCATTAATGTCTGGTATAGTCTGATAAAGTCAAGAATGATATAGTCCCGCAAGCTTAAGCAATCATATATATATGTAAATATACTACAATATTTCCAAAAATACTTCTGTTACCATCTTCACTCTTAGGAACTCTCTTTATTCCTACGATGAAGCTATTATCATTGTACGTGACAGCAATCAATACCCCTCCCTTCAGCGAGCATTACTCAGAATGGGTTTCACCGAAAATCAAAACCAGTCACACGTTGTATTTCTCCCATGTCCTTTGGGATCATTTTCGAAGTCTTTGGGGAAAAGAAGCTGGAAATGCGTTTATTGCTCGCCTGGTATGTTATAGTCTGGACGTTTGTAAGAACCTGATGTAGCTCGGGCCACAATAAGAAACGGTGAAAGCGATTAATTTGTGGAGAAGTGTGTCTAGGAATAACCTTCTTATAGACCTATTCATACTTGTACATGTACAATATTGCCACAGCACTTACCCTGAGGAAGCTTGAATGCTCAAAGTCCGTTGGGGTCGTTTTATTTTAAGAGTCAATAACCACACCAATATATTTCTGCTTGAGAGAGGATTTCAGGTTTCAGTATATAAATGAAGAATAGCCTCTGTTTGTCCAAAGTATCACCCATTTCAATTTAGGAAAAACGACTTGCAAAGGAAAATTTTCCTTAATCAATTAAACTGAAATTGATAAAACATTTGACTTTGAACCAAAGTAAATGCTGAACCTTGAAGATGGTGGAAACTTCGTATTCCACCAAGTTTCAGGTATGTTAAATAAATAAATAAAATAAGTAATAATCTTTATTTCTTAAGATAAAATCACATATCCTAAGTTACAATATAAACTAAAAAAACTATTTACATATTATATCTAAAAATTATTTTGTTACTAAAAACGTTCTTAAACCTGTCAGTGTAGATTCTAGGGACAGAGACTGACGTATTTCTAAGATTGTACCTCATGTTCTTTTCCTTAGGTAAAAACTGGAAGAACGGGCATTCGGGATCATTCGATCTTTTTTAGTAGAGTGTCTTGTCAGCCTTCTCTAGCAAATCCCTGATATTTACATTCTTGGACATAAACTTTCTTTTCATACACCGGTTTAAAAAATTCTGTAGTACAGAAATGTCGGAATCTGAGGCACCATAAACCGGCAGAGCGTAAGAAAAATTTGGTAAAACTATTGCGTTAAAAAGGTGATCTACTTCCCCCTGGGACATTCCTTCCTTAGGTAAAGATCCTAATACGAATAATGACTTGTTCGCCTTAATTACCTTCGCGCGCACGTGACTACTGTATTTACAATTTTGTTGGAAGGTAACACCTAATATGGATAACTCTGCGCACTGCAGTATATTACTAACTGGCGCGATGTCCTGACTGAAACCTTTCTTACGGAAAATAATCTCCTTGCATTTTGTTGGATTGCATGTCATGCAATTGCGGCTGGACCAGCTAAGAAACTGATCCACCAAGTCTGTGCGACACCGGCCGTTTCCCCAAAAAGGGACGATAATTGTAGAATCATCAGCATATTTAAACAAGGCTGGGCGACCTTCTAGATTGATCTCCAAGTCATTAATAAACACGTTAAAAAGATATGGCTCACTGACACTACCTTGTGTCGTACCGCTATTAACCTCACGCCACTGTCCCTCAAAACCATTATAAACTACTCGCTGCTGGCGTTTCTCGAGAAAGCTTAAATACCAGTTCACAATAAGGGGATTCAATGGCAACTGCCTAAGCTTAGATGACAGGAGTTCATGATTGACACAGTCAAACGCTTTTCTAAAATCCATTGCAAATACTCGGACGGCTTTGCAGTCTTGCTCGTCTAAATAGCTGTAGATGGTATGCTGCATGCTCAAGAGCGCATCAGTGCAACTCCCCCCTGTCGTATAAGCAAACTGTGTTGAACTCAGATGCTGTTCGACAATGTCTCGTGCATGGGTGTTATACACAGATTTCTCGAACGCACGTGCAATTACGGGCGTGATCGTAATTCCTCTGAAGTCCTGCTTGCCCTTAGGGATGTCGATCTTAGGGAGGGGCGTCACGTGGGCCCTTTTCCACGAGGAGGGCTATTTGCCAGTTTTCAGAGAAACATTCCAGATCTTATGAATGACACTTGTGAAGATCTTAGCGTGATCCCTCCAAATCCAAAAGGAAATGAGATCTGGTCCCATAGCGGTTTTCTTCAGATGTTGTAAGCACTTCCACACGTGTCTTTCTGATATCTGAGGGGCTTCTGAGCTCTTATCCACAATAGCTGGTACAGGCTTCGTATATGCGTCATCAGTGCACAAACTGGCGAAGTAGTCGTTTAGCTCCTCCAGTGATTTAGTCTCCAATGTCACGTTAGCAGAAATGCTGCGTTGTTGGGACAAGTTATCGACGTGCTTCCACCATACTCTGGATCCGACAGGTGCCTTTGCGAGTGTTCTTCTGTTCTCACTAATCAATTCGCTTATTTTCCTGTTAACCTCAGCCAGCCGATCTTTATTGCTTGGAGCTATTCTTGACTTTACCCTCTTTAACGATTTTACTAAGGGTGTCATCCACACCGGATCACGCGATGACATGCGTACTGACCGCAACGGCATACACTCATCCATGTGGTGTTTAATTTTTGCTTCCAAATTATTCACTGCCTCCTCGACATCATTTAAGTTTAAGACACTCTCCCAATTCTCACTTACTAGTTTTAGGTACAATCCCTTTGTAACGGTTTATATTTTTATTTTCACATATAATCAAAATGTACTTGAAACCACTCATAACCACAATTGGCACTTTGACACGTTCCTCTTTCAGGTGGTTTTTACTCCGACACATTTGGTTATGTTGCAGACGGCTGTAAGAAATGTCCAAATGGTTCTTACGTGGCATATGACAAAAAACCTGGAAAATCTGTATTGGACTGCAAGACATGTCCTGACGGTAATATCCAAACATGTGCTTCTCAACGTCACTAAAGGGTTTGAGCTGTCAGTGTGTACACACGTAATCAAATGCTGTCCAGAGGCCTGGAAAGAATGACGTAAAAATAGAGGATAGAATTCGAATAGTCGAGTTTATCTTAAGAAACAAACCCAGCACGTAGGCAAGAGTCGAATGTCTCGAAACCCGTCCCTGTGTTCGCTTTATTGTGTATGGTTGGTTTGAAGATTTTTTTCTTACTTCAAGGGTACTACAGTAAATGATATGAGCCCGGGGGTAACATGTAATAGTATAGTTGGATCGTCCAGGTGAGTGGAGTCCTGAAAAGGACTGTTGTACATGTCGGTAGTGGTGACTGACGTTTCGACAACCCGAGCGAAAGTCATCTTCAATGTTAAGTGACTTCAAGGGTACTATTTGACGCCCCAAGGTTTATAGGTGAACCTATTAGTTGATCTTCCCCTCAATCAACATTGGCCAGAACATCGGGTCTCAAAGTCCGGGAGAGAATTCGTTCCACCCTGCGCTGATAAATAACACCAATGATTACGCATTTTTTGCGAGTTGTCTCTTCTTCAACCAAACATTTGGAGCGCGAACGAAAACGACTTTGAGCCTACTTTTTTTAAAGGACAATTAAATATGACAACAGGAGCCATAATGAGTCTAGCTGGTTTTTTGGGTTCAAGCTTCATCTAACTGAAGGTAGGAGTGAGTAAGATTTGATTGATTAATAATACAATCTTGAATTTTTACAGGAACAGAAACCGATTTTTTCGCTGGACATCGTGCTTGTCCCTGCTTGGAAGGACATTACCGAACTCATCTCTTCGAAAAGTGTTTTACATGTGGCCGAAGCGGGCTGGTATGCCAAGATGAGTATGCCTCACTAAAACCTGGCTTTTGGTGGCAATGGCGGAACGAGTCCTATAAACATCGTTATGAATATTTCATGAAAAATATCGCCCGAGAGTTACCTGCATTGGATTATTTCTCAGTGCAATATCCTTATGCAATACCAACACCATACAGATGTCAGGTAGAGGAGTCTTGCAAAGGTGGTTTGGACTCACCATGCGGAGAAGGGTATCAAGGTCCACTTTGCGCTGTATGCAATCCAGGGTACCACAAACAATTTCACTCTTGTGAAAAATGTCCTTCACGAGCCTGGATCGCAGCACAGTTATCTCTCATTGCTGCTATTATAGCGATATTGTTGGCCCTTTTAGTATGGAGAAAGAAAAATAATGTTTCAAAGGACCGGGGACTCTCTATTTTTGACAATTTGTTGTCAAAGCTTAAGATCTTGATTGGTTTTTATCAAGTCACCCATGGCTTGCTAGACGTGTTCTCGTTCATTGAATGGCCAGATTCATTGCAGGTTGTGTCCAAGTATTCAGGAATTTTACAGATGAATCTGCTTCAGGTAGCACCGATTCACTGCCTTAGTCACAATTTACACGTGGATGCCTTTGGAGATTTGTTTGTGCTCTTGTCAATGAACGCCATTGTTATCGTTGGTTCGTGTGTGATCTATGGTTTTTGGTATATGATGATCTCAAAAAAACAGGGCCTGGAGGAGGACAAAAAGGCAAGCAAAACTTCACAAGGGAAAGTTCTTGTTTTCAGAAACGTTTTTTTCTTCTTGTACGTGACATACCTAAGCACTTGTTCGAGGACAGCCAGTGTTATGCCGTTCGCCTGCCAGAAACTCTGCAAAGATAAAAGAGAAGAGTTATGTGACGAGTACCTTAAAGTAGATTACAGCATAAAATGCCAAGGAGCAAATTACAATCATCTTGTGATTGTAGCTTATGTTTCAGCTGCATACATCATTGCTTTACCTGCTCTTTCTCTCGTCGCCCTTTGGAGGCATCGCCGAACAATCATAACCAAGAAAGACCGTGCTAATGGCTCTGAGCCAGAAATTGTCGATGGATTGCGATTTCTCTTCGAAAATTACAAACCTCGTTCCTGGTATTGGGAACTGGTTGAAATGTCCCGCAAGTGCATTCTTACATGCGGCCTCATCCTTGTGGGTCAAGAAAGCAGATCCTTCATTGGATTGGCCTGGGTTGTTGCCGGTATGTATGCAGTGCTTTTCTGCTGGATCAAACCCATGCAAGACACTTTTGAGAACAGACTGATGTCCACTTCTCTTGCCGTTACAATTGTAAACTTGGGTATTGGTGCTGTCAGCAGAATTCCGGCAGAGAACATATTAAGCATGGCGGACCATCACAAGGACGCTTTGGCAATGAAAGTACTGATTATTGGGGCAAATACGTTGGTGATTGGCCTTCTTGCTGGTAAGATAAATATTAGTTTGATGGGAAAAAAAAACTTAATTCCATTTTCTGAAATATTAACCACCTAAGTGTTATATCTCACACATTAAAGATAACCTTATCGTATCTTGAATTTATCTGAACAGCAACTAAACATTAAAATTAATGAAACGCACAATAGGTATTTAGTCTCTCCATAGGAGCTTAATTAATTTGGTTAACATTTGAAACTACGTAATTGGTTTAGGTTTACCGTTAAACAGGGAAAGTTCAATTCTTTGATCATTCATTTTCTTCTTAGTTCAGTACCTGGCATTCTTACATCAGTTCTTCAAAGAGTGGCGCAAAAATCCGAAATGGTCCTTGTCTTGCTGCCTAGCCTTGTTTCTTCCACTTAATGACCTTCAAGGCGAGATACGTGGGATGGTTGGCAAAAACATGCTTAAAACACAACTTCAGTCAGGGATCATTGGGAAGCCCTCCATTGCGGCCAGTGCAAAAGATAGTGGAGCATTAAGTTTTTCTCCAACCCATGAAGACAGTGAAAGACAAGAAGGAAGTTCAGTAAAATCTAGGATGACCAGATGTAGCAACACTAAATGTGACCGTGGGACACAAACAGAAACACTCGCACCAGTATCTACCGCTACCGCTGAACATGCACAGGAATCATGGAAAGCGTGCCAGCAGATAACCATGTGAGTACATGGCTAGTAAGTTCTTGTTTTCGTTTGTTTGTTTGATTTTGTGTTTTGGAGGATGGCGATGTTGTTTTAGAGATATCGTCCACTTTAATGGTCTAATAAATCTTTTGAGAAGCGTCCCTGCTTATCATAGAAGAGTTGAATAAGATTCCAAGCGACATGGCTCTACAAAAAGTGTCATCCTACTACAAAGTCGTCTTCCTTACTCTTAGAATTGACCTACATATTATAATAATAAGGTATGCAACTTCTTCCAGACTATAGGCCGACTGACCTCTTAATTTCGTTTGTGAAAGAGATGTACAAAAGTGAAATTTTTTCACACTTGTACATCTATAGGATCTGCCAACCTGTATCCTTGGTTAGTCGTAGACATACGATATGTTGGTGATCGTTCATTTGAAGAGAAAATATAATGGACTCTCTAATTTGTGATATAGATTTAATTGTTACACATTTTCAAGGATTGTCTTTCTTTTGGGAGACGATGAGAATGAGCTCCTACGTACGCTGGTCAGTTACTGTGGTATTTTCTTAGAGTAAAGTAAGAGTATGTAAAAGAGACACAAGGATCCAATCGCTCTGACAAAGGGCTAACGCTCGAAACGTCAGCCTTTAAACTCTTTACAAATTGCTCTTCTTTTCAGGAGTCGGCTCTCTGACCATCACATACCACTTACTGAAGCAGAGGAAGCCATCTCAATAGAAGAAAAGAGAGACAGGAGTAATGAAGAATGAAGAAGACGGCCGGAAATAGTATAGAATTTAGCATACAAGGCAACGCATCCCCTTTCCTTTAAAATATTTAATAGAATAGCGAGAGCAGATATGTTTAGGCGAAACATGGCTTTTAATGATTAGCTCTAGTAACGTTTTTTGGGGTATTATTTATACCTTAAGACATATAATACTCGTATTAATTGTAGCATTGGATATTTCCAAGATGAAGGCAGCGTTCCGATTTACATAAACCTATACTCAATAGAATAATCAGATATGCATGTGATATTCCCGTTTGAAAACGGGCTGCACCGGTTTTGAACAAACGTACGGTGTCATTATTAGCAGTATCATGCAAATAGAGGTGATACATGTAGTGGCGATATTCATAAATATTGTTATAAGCTAAGAACTGATACAGTTTCAGTTGAATTTATTATTAAACGGGTACTCCTCAGTTTGTAGAAATGCTTCTCCAGGAAGACAGCAGCGAGACATGTAAAATTAAGTACCTCAGTTCATACGTGATTTTAATAAAGTCTTAGCACAAATATTGTCATTTGCTTTGTTGCTACGTATGCGATCCCTAGCCCCTTTCGAAAAGACACATGATATTTAAATCAGTTATCTCAAATGTAAATACTTTTGGGATGGAAAAAAATAACTAGGGGACCTGTAATTATCTTTAGAGGAGGAAGAATTTTGAGGGGATCACACGGTTTTTCAGGGGTAAAGGAGGGAGGGGGGGATCAGTCGTCGCCAACAGAGTATAAAGGAAGGACTATAGAAAACTGACTGCCAATTAACTTCCGATGAGGGGGGGGGAGGGTAATTATAGAGCCTTACAGGGAATGAGACATATTTCGTCATGACAAAACTAAAATTCTTTAGCGTAAATATGAACGTAAATAATTAATTTTAGTTTATACTAAGGGAGTAGTTCTTTTCGCGCGCTCTGATTGGCTAATTTGAGAGTGATTAGCTAGTAATATCTATCCTCAATCAGCGGAAGAGACAAATTCGCAAGTCAAGAATATAATTTCTGACCATATTTGGGTGGATATTTGCCTTGCCTTTTCGCAGCTCGGTAAATGTCCACCACTCTTCTTTTCACCTCGGTGATTAGTTGTCAATTATTAAACAACACAGTATTGTTGATTGGCTATTATCAACTACCCCTACAGACAGAATTTTCTCTCTAATGAAATCGGGTTTATGCTTTTTTTTTTTGCTTTTTAAATACGGATACCATAAGAGTTTGGTAAATTTGTGTGATACATAGCCAAATAGTTTAGTCTTGGAAAAGAAACCAGCCTTAAGTTTGAGCATTTAATTCAGGTTTTGCCAAAAATAGAAACATTATTAGTCAAACGTAGACAGTACTCTTACGGTAAACAATAACTTGCGACCCCTCAAATGAAGATTAAATAATAAAGCCTAACAATAACTTGCGACCCCTCAAATGAAGATTAAATAATAAGGCCTAAGAAATAGATTACCAATCATTTTTAGAGAAGATTTCGTTGAGGCTAGAAACACATTAACGGCACGGCTGAAATCGAACAATTCATGGAGGGAAGGGTTTCTCTTACTTTAGTTTTGTGATGAAAAAAGGTTCTGAGATCTCTCTTTAATTCCAAAGCGTGTTTTTCTTATGAAGCCACACCGTTTTGCCGAGTGAGAATATCAAGGACACACCTGAAAGGCGTGATGGCTTTACGTTTGTAGAAACACTCCTCAAAATTGATTCTATGTACAACATGAAACATGCTACGATGAAACACACTCTCTGGTTTAGATGATTGCTGATTCCTTGAGTCTAGCGTTTTTCTATTTATCGGTTTCCAAAAAAAGCCAAAAAGAAGTCGTGAATTTCCCACCCGTCCTGCAACCTGGGCAATGAAGAGAAACCAGTTTAATATCTGAATAGCAATCATTTCCTCGGAAACTGACTTTTATTTACACTTCACGCGTACAAAGATATATTTTGGACTCTTTGGTGATAGCTTCGTCTGCTAAACTGATGTGACCGTTCACAGCTATTTGCTCTCTTGTTTTGTCTTCTTGCTCATCTATGAAGTCATCTATTGCTATTTCAAGGCGAGCAAATTTTGGCACTTCTTCCATTTTGTTTCTGACAGAAAGTCACTTGCTCGTTGTTCACCACTGTAAAGTACTATCGTTTGTGTCTCTGACTGGACGAACGATGAATTTTCACAGTCGCTCGCTTTTCTTATGGCCTGGTTAGTTGTGTGTCTCGCAAGAATTTTAGACGGGCTTTTTTCATGTGTAAATCTCAGTAAGTTTGAAGTAAGTACATATTATCGTATGACCCTTACGGCCTCGCGCACACAATAGTGAAAGCTGATGTGTGTAGGACCGAACGGGTTGACATGAGCAAGTCCTGAAAAAGCCGTCCAGCCCTGCACTCACACGACTTTGTTGTGTATGTGTTAGGACAGAGCAGCACCAAAATGCTAATATATTCGAGCTTACTTGACAAACAAATAATTATAATAACGAGTTAACGTCCTCAGACTTCCCCTCCCTCCCTCCCTCCTCAAACACAAACAACAGAAACCCCTCGCAAATTACGTACTGTACATTGTTGGGGGAATGTAAGTATTATTTGAAATCAAAAGAGAAACTTAAAAATAAAACTGTAAGAAGCAGCTTTCACCGAAATATTAGGTTTTCTGACGGAAAAGACTGGAGAAGAAAACCATAGGCTAATGTTAGTGAATATTCGTTATTCTAAATAGACCTAGTCCTTATAAATTATAGCTTGTTTGTTTTGTTTTCCAAATAGAGGGCTCCAGGAAATTGCATTCTTCGTCTTCTGTAAACTATATGCATACATGTGCAATCGAATATGACGAAATTTGAAAGACAGACTTTTCTTGAGTGTAGGATATTTTTATATGACCACAAGTCAATAAAGTGTATTGTTGAGGCGCAGTTAAGTAACTTTTGCGAAATTCTCATCCCATCTTGTTTACTCTCTGCGGGCGTCTTTTCACTTTGTGGCTTTACGTAATTTCCTTTCACTTAGAGATCTGACATTACCTTCTCAGCAATCTTGTGCAAAGAAAAGGTGTTTTTTTTGCTTCAGCCACAAAAAAAGAAATTATCGGATGAGTTTGAGCATATATTAGCAAAACCGAAGCAGAAGGCTAAGGCAAATAACACAGAGTTTTGATAATTCATGATGAAATGCGAAAGCCGAATTCATTAATTGTTTTATTAAACTTTTTAAACAATCTGAAAAAGAAGACACTTCTGTTTGAGTTCGCAAAAACATGATTAATGCAGTATAGGTTACTATGTCAACTTCACAACCTATTGTTAATAGTTGAACGAATGCTCACGACCAATCAATTTTTCATTATAAGTCTAAAGTATATGAACAGCTATTAAAAGCTTTATCTGGAGCCGAAAATGTTCTGTCAACTGTGAAGCATAATTATGGCCGGTTTCATTTGCGTTTTCTAGAACTTTTCTATCTCAGTGACGGAGCTCTTCAAATGAGATATTTCTTCAGGAATTTCTGAATATAACCGGTGACTTTTTCATCAAACAATTTCGCCTGAATCCTAAACTTTAATATTTCTTGTAGATTAAACCTGTTTTCTCCATACAGGAACTTATTGTGAGACATCTGTTTCGCTCCAGATTATTAAAGCCATTAAAAACCTCAAATTCTGCTGAAAAGGTTTCTTTTAACCCGGATTTGATTGCTTCCAGAAATATTTACCCAAAAATTCGCAAATAAATTGGGCGACTTTCACGTTGCAAGAGCTAGTTGACGTCTCCTACCCTTTCATGAACACTCCTCTATACCTTCATTTATCTCCAGGCAAATTATGAAAAAAAAGAAAAAACGCAACCTTGGGTAATTTGAAGGTGTTGATACAAAGCCTTGGGTTTTAGTATTCAAGATAATTTTAAACAAACAAAACACAAATCAAATTTGAAACTGTAACCCTTAAGTTTAGATAATAGAAAAATGTTTACTCAGCTGTCTGACATTTTTCTTCATTTGAACCTCAGTATCAGAAATTTTACTTTCCTCGGCTGTAGAGTTTGATGAGATCCTTCTAGACATCATTTCTCAACAAGTTAACGAATGTCATATTGAAAAGTCTTTTTGGAGTCATTTAAAAAAAAAAGGTCTAGCAGTTGGAATCATTACTCTCAGGAAAAATATAAATCTTTCACAATAGGTTGGGGGCTCTCTATGCGGTATGAAAACAACTCTGAAAAAATATAATTAGTTTCTCGATTATGAAGAGAGATTTGAAAGTCTCGGCAACTTAATTTAAACTTCAGAGCGAAGAGGCGCCCATCAGTTCACGGAGGTAAGAAAATCTTAAAGAACTCCATTGTTAGAACTCTTGCAAAAACCGAATATCATTCTAATTTAGTAACAGGATCAACTGTCTTGTTCATCAGTTTACTGACAAACAAACTCAACGAAACAAATCGCGGAAGCTCTGTAACTTCCTAAAAGCTTTCCAGAATTTAAAAGCGGTGGTGTGAAATAGATTTAGCTTTGTGCGCTGACCGAAAGCATTTCTCCCAGAATTTTTTCTCTTTTTAATCAGACATAGGTGTTTCTCATGATTCCCTTTTTTGTTCCTGAAAATTTCGCTTGAACATTTTTACCGGTCCCTAGTTTCCAAACAGGTGGTTTAGGCGTAAAAGGACAGAGAGTATCAATAAACTGGTACGAAACGTCATTTTATAGGTAAGAATACGTTTTTCTTGTGTCCTTCCTGTCAAGTAGATGTTATGCAATAAAGAAATAGCAGTTATTAAAATGTCTATTCTTGAAATGGTTCAAGACAAAGATTGGTTTCGTTGATCCAACGAAACAAATAGTAATACATAAGAATAATCACATTTGCTGAACCTGTGATTTCACTTCCTCTAACACAGTCGGCCCAAACGGTCAAATGTATTCACACTATAAAACTTGCTGTTAAACAGCTCGAGTTTTTGCATGCATTATGAAATATTTGATCGAAAGTTGATGAGAATTACTCGGCGAGAGGATCAAACGTTTTCGAAAGGGAATCATTTTTGAAGTGGAACATGTCCTCAGATATGTACGAATTCTTGGAGGAGCAGCGTTTTTGACAGGAAGCTACCTCAGAGTGTACATTATTTGCCATGTGGCGTCTGGGAAACAGCTTTATATGACATTGCAGTCATTTGTCAACTCAGAGATCTGTAGGAGAAGCTTGGACAAACCACAATTAAACCTGCCTTCGCAAAGCGTTATGTGAGCTATTATAAAAGGGTTTCTGCACCTGGTTGTCACCTGTAAGTGACAACCATCTTGGGAACAATATAATGGCAATATTACAGCATGGTAGAAGAGGAGAACAAGCGGAGCAGCCAGTAGTAATACTCACGGCCCTCTCCTGGACGTGCATCGTGTCTTGTAGAAAATCGTTAAACACGCAAGTGGAAGACTGATGACGAACAGGATCCTTTTGAACAAAGAATGAAGATGTGACGTATTTTGCTTTAAAAAGTAGCGGAAAGGAACTCCATTCAAATTGAGAACAAATGAACAATTTACTTCAATACATTTTAAAGATATTTATTCGTCACCTCTGCCTTACCCGCTGAATGATCGCAAAATAAAACGTCGTGAAGTCGCAAATCAGAATGCATTTATGAGAGATGAGTTTTTGTAAGACAGATGTAATACAGGGCAAAGAACGAAATTGCAAATGTAATTATATTTCTTATCTCCACCTTTTAGCTGGGCTGCGTTAGTGCGCAGCTCTATAGAAACATACCAGCTATACTTGTACACTGAAGAATATTCGGACACAGTGAATCTTAAACTCAGGAGTTCCGCGCTTTTTTTTCTTTCGTTAAGAAAAAAAAAAAGAATAGTTAGGTACATAGGCAATGAATGGACATAAATTACAAATTTTTTGTTGCTAAATTAAAACTGGTTTTCACGAATTGTTATTTAGAGAACAAGGTGACACCCTTCTAACAAAACATTAGAGTGCATAGTAAACTTTTGAAACATTGAAAAGGTTTTCACTACATTATGATTTAACAGCTCATACTCGTATTAAAGTAAACCATACTAACAATTGAGGTAGAAAATCGGCGAAAAAATTAAATATGATCATTTGGAAATTAATACAAATATTGCTATTCTATACGATAGGTGATAAAATCGATTTATCTCTGAATTAATTTCTCTTTTACTCTGTTTTACCCGTTTTCAGAAACTATGGTTGCAGCGGAACCCCCGCTCATTATGGCACTGCTTTTGGCAATTTATTTGAAAGCGTTGAATGGAAATTCTAGTGCCTTCGCTACACAAGGTGGGAAATGAAGTTGTTCATGTCATGCTGAACTTTGATAATGTTCCTGGAGCCTCTTAAACAGGCAAGAGCAGATCGCAAAAGCGCAAACGAGACTTGAGCTCTTACCCAGGAGATGGCTGTGGAATATTGCTCTTCTTTCTTTGAGGCAATGAGCTCTGCCAATCTACAATAAAACCTATGGCATTATTTCCCCATCCCACCCGTTGTCGTAAAAACCAGCGGGGCGAGTGTACCCCTTTCCACATAAAGTACTCTTCTAGAATACTGGTGCTTTTTCTCGTATCCATGTTCCGGTACTAGTCGGCATGAGGGTGACAAACCCTTACGTCAAATAATAATATTAATTATAACAATAGTAATAATAATAATAATAATAATAATAATAATAACAACAATAATAGTATTATTACAATTTCTACATTGCTGAAAAAAAAGTAGATAATGATAATGATGTACTGATGCTACTATTTCTTTAGAATGTGGGGTTTTGGTAAACAGCACATTGAAAAGTCCGGGATATCCATTTAGATATCCAGCAGATATGGATTGTGAATACTTTGTTCCTATTCCACCCGGAGGGCCAATGGAAATATATTTCGTTGACTTTGATGTGGAGTTTGACCCATCATGCAGGTAAGATAGTCCTCTCTGCCACGAATTGATTATTTTTTTCATTGTTGGCAGCCGGTCCAAGAGTTCTGTGTCTGCTATTATGTTTTGCATGCTACTCTTGCAAAATAAGCTTAATAAAAAATTCAAAGTAGGGCAGATGATTTAGTTGAAGCAAACTTTACAACACTCGTCCAAAAAATGCAAGGAAAACTTCCTTCAAACCTTCGTATCATTAGACAGGAAAATATTTCGTCATTTCCGTTGCTTTCTCTATACGTGACCCTCCACGGGATTTCAGGGAATAAGGTGAACGCACGCACACGGCACGTTATGACACGCTCGCACGCTAATGGCATAACACGCTTACCGTGCAGATATGCGCATAAAAAAAATTGATTTTAGAAAGTGCGTTGTTCAGATCTGGCTAACACGGTATAGAACTTTGTTATTACAACACGCTAGTGTTGTGTCCGTTTTATAAAGGAAGTTTGACTCGCTATGTTTGAGCGAGCAGTGGAATCAGATAGCCGCTCGCATTAACACAAAATGTAGAGGAAAGAGGAGGACTCTTATTCACAGACTTACGAAAACTAGTTTGTTTCGAAAACACTGAGATAGCACAATTAGTCTATCATTTAACATGAAAACATTATGGGTCGGTTAATTGAACAGAGTTTAGCCATTGTTCAACAAAACTGCGTTCTGAGTTATTTTGATTTTAGCTAATCCTCGTAAGCCTTGCTAATTATTAAGAGAATAAAGAGGGCATGAAACGCAAACTAGAAATTCATTTATGTGCCCAAAATAATGCATTTATAAAAATGTTAGGTGGCGAAGATTGAAGATTAATTATAGTCAAGTAAACTCGATCATGGATAACATGTTTTTCTGTGAAAAAATCTTCAATTAATATTTTCCTCATTAGTTATGACATAGTGAAGATTGCTAATGATCAGAACTATACCCTTGGTGAATACTGTGGTCGGAGGACTGGGCAGACAGTTGCAGTTTATGGAAACTTCGCCTCGATAACATTCCACACAGACTCCTCTGTCGGAAAAAGAGGATTCTTCTTCCGTTTCAAAACGGTTCCAGCAGGTTTGTATAGTTCTTAGGATGGAAATCTCTCAAAATGTTTAATGAAGTGGTGACAGTGTGATGTTATCTCAAAGAGAGAAGCAAAATAATTATACAACTGAAATGGTTTTTTATCAGCGGCGTTACTGAACCTCTCATGGACGATGGCAACTATTTCTTATGGGTAATCACATGATTTCGAGTGCAATTTGGGAAAAATCAACACAAGTAAATTATTTAAAAGCTAACCAAATTGCACGAGCTCCTAGGGTAAGTTCAATGTGTAGTTTATGAAAAGTTTACGAGTCCTGATTTATCCCAATTTGCAGGAGATAAAATCGTGTGATTACTTGATAATAATATACATGCAAAAATTTGACTCAGTTTTGATTGGTGCGGCCACTTACCTTTGCATTGTTTCCAGAGTCGTGGGGATCCTCCCGCAAGAATCAGGAACTTTTAAACTTTCTGTCAGGAACAATTGAGTATTTGCGATCTTTCGCAGTTAGAATTTGCTTTACATGAAGGCCATCACTCTCGCAATGTAATCCCTGTCATTCGTACTAGCTGTTGCGTAAACTCTGATATAATTTTGTTCAGGTCCTCCAGTTCTTACCTTTTAAAAATTTTTGCCATAGCCGTTTTTGGGAGCCCATCACTCACCGACATTTAGCCAGTTGTTTGCGCTTTGCTGGACGTTTTTGATTTTAATCAAGCACACACGCAAGCTCGCGTCTCGAGAAGAAGCCAACGATTAATTCATGGACGCGTCACGCGTTGTGTGACTCGGTGTTAAGTTACGAGAGGAACCGTAGTATGGGGAACGAAATATGATCGGTTTACAACGATAAATATTTCAAAATATGAATATTTTACACGTAAAGTCATAACACTTACTCGCATCCTGTGTGTCCGTTGTAGTTTCCGGCGTTTTCTGCTGTTTTAAGGTTGCTTTACCATCACTTTTATTCCTGTCAAAAGACGAAGTCAAGGCTGCACACTCCGATTTCGACCGTTGTCCATGAGCTTGGGCCGCCTGTGAATCAAGAAGTCGTTGTTTCTCCCCTTATCTGTCAGCCATTTCGTTTTTATGCGCTTTCGCAACTATTCCACCAATCAATTTTTTCAACTTTTTGCAAGTTATGGGATAAATTGACATGTCTTTAATCAATAAGCAACCTGAATTTTTTTCCATATATGTTATTATAGAACGAATGCGGAGAGATATCGTGTATTATTAACTTCGTCTGACTACGAGCTATTTTGCATTTCATTTTTTTATGCAACTTTTCTTTAGCCCCACCCAAAATAACCTTACCTGCCGTTGTGGAAGCTCTCCCAGGTTACAGAGTGAAAATTCCAGTGACTGGAACTCTACCGATATACACAGCAGTAATAAGAGGCTCTACCGTGTTGGTGAACACAACATATGCTGCAGCCTTTCAGTTCTATTATGAGTCACATTGCACCTCTGTTGCCTTTAACAAGTATGGATATGATACGAGAGAGTTCTCTGTGATTTTTAAAGGTAAGGACATTTCATAAATCTAAGAACATGACTCATCTGAGTTAAATAAGGTTCTGAAAATTCTACTCCTACAAATGAACCTGTATTAACCCTTCACTGCAACAATGACGTACTGAGCACGTCCTGTACCACATACTCAATACGTCCTAAATCGTAGTACTTAGATGGATAGTTCCGCAAGTTGAACAAACGATCAAACTGTAAACAATTAAACCCATATGGAATGGCGTGGTGACCGCTAAATACAGGTTAGCTGCATAAAACAGGATCCTCAGATAAGGGGTATTGAAATAAAGATAAACAACTTACTTTGATTTTGGGAGATTTCGGTAGCTACGATTACTATTATTATTGTAGATAAAAACGATCTTCGCATTAATGAAAACTACTTAAACAGTAGTAAAAATAAAGTCTGAAAAAAGATTTAGGCCTACGCGGGGTTTGATCCCATGACCTATGCGATACCGATGCAGCGTTCCACCAACTGGGTGAAAATAAGGCCGGGAAGATGGCGCTCCTATATTCATTTTTTCACTGCAGTTCACATGATTTTTATATATTCACAGTCCTAACTATTATTGCTGCCGCCATTGCTACAACTGCTATTTGTTTTCCTCTACAATTAGATTCAACTTCATAACGCTTTGTTCTCAACTTAATGTCAATGGTGCTATTAACTGGAGTTTATTGATCTGGAGACTTAATTTAACCAGTTTTGCTGGTTTTCCTTTCCCTTACTTTCCTTTCTTTCAGACTGTAAACATGCCTGTTCTCCGAGGTTCAACAGTCGCATTGGAAATAAACTCTTATGCGAGAAGGTGACAGCAACACAACTTCAGAGGTGTCTTTCGCCGTTGACGGAAACATTGTAAGAAGCTGTGCATTGTAAGAGGCTGATTGACAACAAGCTAATGCTCAGGGCACTTGTACACCGGCATATGAACCTACAGTAGACTGCATTTTTTAAAATTAGATTCATTAAGGACTAGACTAATAATTATCGTTGCTTTGTATTAATAACATGCTTGAGCTCGAGAGCCGTCCTTTTCATTTCAAAACTTTAGGTTGTCTAAGATAAACACCCGAAGGTACAGTTTGAAAACAAAAATCCGTCTGAGTGAAATGATAAGAATTTTGAGAGAAAATTATAAGAATTATATGGCCATATGTAAAGAACTGCTGCTCCTCAAGAGGCCGATTGTTTGGCAAATTGATCAATCTGAAAGGGCTGTGAGTGAACACGACTTTGTCTAGGTTTTCTATTAAATCGAAAGGCTTTCTCTGCAAGAGCTAAGGATCAGTCTAGCTGAGATTATAGTGACACCTCTAGGGTTCAAACTTGTGCAATAAAATAACCTTAATGAGTCGATGTTTTTACAGGGAGCTCGAGGCTAATAATATAACCTTTTTACCTGAGGGATTGTTTGACAACTTGATCAACCTCTACCGGCTGTGAGTTAACACGAGTTTGTTTAGCTTATCTAATAAACTAAAGAGGCTTTCTCCGAAAGAACCAAGAGATCAGCCTGAAGTTATAAGGAGAACACAAGGGCTCAAAACTAGCAATAGTGAAGAAAAGTTCATTTACTGTTATCAAATTTTGCTATATGTTTGGTTGAAAGCCGTCATTTTTAATCGAACCCAAGTAATCTGGGGTGTAATCTGTGCCCTTTATAAGGTCACTTCGGAATTTTTCATTGCACACACTTACTATGCAACTGTCGTGCACATTTAAAAAATGGAGAATTGTCCTGTATAGTCTGACCTCTCAAGAAAGGTAAAACGTCCCTTTAACAGGCAAACAGCTGCAGTAACCGTAAATATCTTTTCATTTTCTTGGAATTAAGGAAATACCCCTTCTGCAATTAAAAAAATACAAAGCCATCCTCAATGTTGGAAAAATAAACAATATTTTGGAAAGGCACTTTTAGCAAGTAGTTAAATGTTATTGTACTACTAGAATTATATGTCTATCTATAAAGAACTGCTGCTCATTAACACGCTCTAAAACTCCCTTTTCATGTATCAAAACTGTATCTCATCAAAACACATAGGCTCGGTCTGAAAAACAAAACATGATCATAATGACAACTTTGGGATCAAACTTAACAATAGTGAGGATAAGTTCATATATTGACGTCAAATTTCGCTCTCTGCTTTATTTTAAGCACTCATTTTTGAGAGAAAATGATAAGAGTTTTGAGAAAGAATTATAAGAATTATATGGCTCTATGTAAAGAACTGCTGCTTCTTAACAAGCAGATTGTTTGGCAACTTGATCAACCTGAAACGGCTTTGAGTGAACATGAGTTAGTCTAGGTTTTCTATTAAATCGAAAGGCGTTCTCTACAAGAGCTAAGGATCAGTCTAGCTAAGATTATAGTGACAACTCTAGGGCTCAAACTTGTGCAATAAAATAACCCGAATGAGTCGATGTTTTAACAGGGAGCTGAAGGCCTGTAATATAACCTTTTTACCTGAGGGATTGTTTGACAACTTGATCAACCTCTACCGGCTGTGAGTTAACACGAGTTTGTTTAGCTTATGTAATAAACTGAAGAGGCCTTCTCCCAAAGAGCCAAGAGATCAGCCTGAAGTTATTGGAAGAACGCAAGGGCTCAAAACTAGCAATAGTGAGGACAAGTTCATTTACTGTTGTCAAATATAAGCGTTTTTATAAGAATTATATGGCTATATACAAAGAACTGCTGCTCCTCAAGAGGCCGATAGTTTGGCAACTTGATCAACCTGAAAGGGCTGTGAGTGAACACGACTTTGTCTAGGTTTTCTATTAAATCGAAAGGCTTTCTCTGCAAGAGCTAAGGATCAGTCTAGCTGAGATTATAGTGACACCTCTGGGGCTCAAACTTGTGCAATAAAATAACCTTAATGAGTCGATGTTTTTACAGGAAGCTGGAGGCTAATAATATAATCTTTTTACCTGAGGGGTTGTTTGACAACTTGATCAACTTGGGGTGGCTGTGAGTTAACACGAGTTTGTTTATCTAATAAACTAAAAAGGCTTTCTCTGAAAGAACCAAGAGATCAGCCTGAAGTTATAAGGAGAACGCAAGGGCTCAAAACTAGCAATAGTGAGGAAAAGTTCATTTACTGCTGTAAAATTTTGCTATGTGTTTTGTTTATAGCTGTCATTTGTAGTCGAACCTTAGTAATGTGTGGTGTAATCTCTTCCCTTTATAAAGTCATCTCGCAATTTTTTATTGCACATACTTACTGTGCAACTATCATGAACATTTAAAAAATGGAGCTTTCTTGTATGGTCTGACTTTTGAAGAAAAGTAAAACGTCCCTTTAACTGGCAAACAGCTGCAGTAACCGTATATGCTTTTCTTTTCTCGGAATTAAGGAAATACCCCTTCTTCAATTAAAAAATACAAACCCATCCTCATTGTAAGAAAAATGAACAATAATTTGGAAAGGTGTTTAAAGCAAGATAGATACGGCTATCTATAAAGAACTGCTGCTCCTTAAAAAGCTCTAAATTTCCCC